GGGTATTAATAATAGAATGAATGTGATGTTCTCTGAGGATGGTGTTTTTTGTGTGCATGATGCTCGCTGCAAAGCTGAACTGAACTGAAACAAACAAAAAATAAAAAAGCAGAAATGAAATAGTGTTTCTTTGTACTGATCTCATTAATGACTCATGAACGATGAGATACATTTTAACATTTGAAGGAATTTTTGAAAATCAAGCACAGATAAAAAAAGACAAGCGACATTCCTGCAAACATTTGATGCATCACTTTTGAAACTATTTGAGAGCAAAAGTCTTCCTTTTTCCATTTTTTTACACAAGAAAAATGGTTCAAAGATCCCCAGGGAGAAACTGATTCATTTTTATTTATGTTTTATTTGAGATATATGCTATATTTGAGTCTTTAGAAGTTTACTTTAAAGTCAAAATCTGTTTTAAATTACACAATAGTTTATTTTCTCCATTATAAATCCCTCTCAACCATGTTCAGTAATTCTTATATTGGACGTGAGCCCGAGCTGTGCTGCTGAGCTCACACATCCCACCAATGCCTCTTTTGTTGCTCAGTTCAAATCAGGGTTAATCCCATCGCAGAATAATACAGAGAATGAAAAAAAGAGTTAGCTAAAAATAGCCACGATTTATGGCTGAATGATGTCTATTGTGTGCAAATTTATGTAATTGCCCTTTGGCTTGTAAAGGACCTGCAGATAAAGCTTAATAGCAAATAAAAAGCTGCGGTAAATGTCAGCAGGATTTACTGAATGTGAACACGCACCATGAAAAAAAGTGTTTGACAATTTGTTATGTGCAATTTCAGAGTGTGACAAGAACACAAATTGTTCTTGTGGCTTTTTAAGCTTGATAAAAGTCCTGTAAACGTTAAGTCACTCTTTTCACAGCAACAAAAAAAGCTCACATTGTTTATTACCAAAAGTGTTCTTCATGTACAACATAAAAAGTATCAGTTTCACATGCTGATATCAAGTGTCACAACAAGGCAACAGATCTCTGTCCTTTTGTCCAGATGTGATGTAAAGCTGAAGGCCTTTAGGAATAAAAAAAAACACACATTCAAACACATGTTAAGCAAACAATAACCCTGTGCACCGATAGCTGCAAATCAATTAATCCTTTGTTTACCTAAGCAAGCGTCAGCTTATGTGGAACAACTTCAAAAAGCTAACCTGATCATTAGCACGAGTGGAGTTTCCAGTATCAGCTAAAGTTTCAGTCTAGCTGATGTGTTTCTTATGTAGCGATGCAATGTTTTAAGCATGGCAGTGTTTGCACAAATACATAACTGACCACGTTAAAACCACAGCCGAACACTGAGGAACAGCGATGTGTGAATCTGGTCAAACACAACCTGTTTTCTGTTTTCATTTTTAAACTGTTTCAAAAATACATTGTGTTGTTCGTTGTTGTGTCTAAGTGTGTCCTCCAGTAGGAAATGCTGTCATCTGCAGGCAGATTCTCCATCTCCATAGTAATGGCCAGCAGCAGCAGGAGGAGGCGTGGCTGATGTCCAGGAGGCGTGGCTGATGTCCAGGAGGCGTGGCCATGTGGGTCCCTGAGATGAAACAATGGCAGGAAGAGAGTGGGATGCCATTACTGGCCCTCTGTGATCTTGACTACTCTGTCACACACACACACACACACACACACACAC